GAAAATTTCTGCAAAAATTTTCGCAAAATTTTACATCAAAAAATTTCGAAGATTTATGAAAATTTACGGAAATTTATACAAAAATTTACGGAAATTTTACATCCCGAAAACTTATGGAGTTATCTGCCCTTAAAAATTTCCTGATGTATCAGTCAAAGATAGGCTAACGTTAGTAAAATGTATTTCCTTGATATACGAACATGAAATAAACACTTATGGTATGATCTCTTACAAGATTTTTAAATCTATTATTACATTGTTGTCTGTATAAGTGCCCCCAAATCGTTCGTTGATTATATTTGCGATAGTATTCCAAAAATTTACTCTACTACTTCCAGGAATATCGTAGTACTCAGCATTTCGGTTTCTTTTTTCGTCAATTAGTAAGCGCAATTGATTGTCAGTTCACATCACAAAAAAATATTTAGTGTGGTAATGATATTCAACTAAGATATGCTTATGATGTGTTATTTTTCATAGAATTATATAAGAAAAAAATTTGTCGCATCTACATCATATCTTTATCGCACCTTCATCGTGCTTATTTATGGTCTAAAAGTATGGATCTAAATATAGGAATATCTTCGCATATCTCAGATTTGCACATCTCAGAATGATGATTCCAAATGAAACACCCCTTATCACCACGCACAAAAATTAATTATCGGAAAAAAATGACCATTTAGGTCTGATTGCTTTATTAATACAATATAAAATACATGTGAAGTGGGATAACTTATACCTGCCACCCAAATTCAAAATCCAAATGCCGAAATCCCAAATGCCAAAATTCCAAATCCCAAATCCCAAATTATGATTAGTATTTTTTGCCGAAATCCCAAATCCCAAATCCCAAATACTAGTAATTTGGAATTTTGGCGTCCCAAATTCCAAATGATTTGGGATTTGGGCAACACGTATAGGATAACTAACTATCTGCTATTTTTTGATAAATTTTTCTCGTACGCGACGCCTCTTGCTTTCGGGTTCATCACATGTGGTTATTCTATCCTTCAATAACCAAGATTGGTATTATATCCGAAATAGAAGTGATCGGTGAAAAAATATCTATTTAATAACTGAAAATTAGGTTTCACAAATTACCTATATACTCAAAGCGCTGAGCCTTTGACTCTCCAATTTACGCTTTCACATTTACCTCAGTTGAATTCTTGGATTCCGTCTGGTTAAAAATTTGTATGAATTGATTATGAATTTTTTCCCATTCATTTATGAGATCATCTAGTCATGCAGTACTCAATCCACTTTTATTATACTACGACATAATAATTCTTCACCAATCAGCCTATCCCGATCTGTTAAAAATTTATGATATTTTCTGATATTTTTATTCCTTTTTATTCTTCCACGATAGAATCGTATATCTCTCTCCAAATCACCATGGAAGCATCCCATACTTCACCTTTTTTTCTCGGCCTCTGTAATAACTGAAAATTTTTTGAAATCTATTCCATGTTCGATGACATACTGATAAAGGCGATTTTTGTTTGGATGAGTTGGTGAACGAGATTCCGTTTCTCGAAATTTGTTCGACACACTTTCCGGTAAGCTCTATAATACGATTATAACTTTCTTTTGATCGATATGAAAAGGGCAATTAAGAAAATATTGCTCATCTTTACCGAGACAGTTCCAATCACCCCATATACTTAAACATATATGTACCTCTTTACATATCAGGCATTTAGCTTCTGAATCAGTATATTTAAAAACATCTCGGTGCCACACATTCGAATTAGTATATGACAAAAAAGGGAATCGTTTCTGTACTACTTTAAGAATTGTACTTTTCTCTTCCGGAAACTTAGAAATTTTGATAACACAGTCCTGTGAAAGGTGATTATCAGTCTTTTCAGGAGTTTCAGACTTTATCCAGGGATCGAGCCCAGTTTTTTTCTTATATCTTTTATATAAACTGGAACGAATTTCATCTGTCAATGGACTTGGTAGACCAGATAATTTATTGTGCCATTTGTAATAGTCATCAGTTAATGTTTTCTTGTCGGAAGCAGTCACAAGGTGAGTAGATAAACAAGACATGTTATCATTGTATGTAAATTAATTTAAATCCTTATATTGGATAATATAAAAAATATATTATATAGGTCCGTTCTTTATTGTATAATATACAGCACTTTATTTGTTAACCAGACAATCACAAAGTTCATACAATTATTTTAGTATCAGCAGAGTCAGTATGGTCGATATACTGGATCATATCAGTTTCGGTCACTTCACATTTAATATAGTATGATCCAGTTTCATAATTGCCCTCTATACTTTCCTCATCCTTATGATTTAACTTGCATATTGGGCATAATGACTCAGCAGTAATCCCATAATAATTGACATCTTCATTACTATATTCATAAAATATATTGGGATATTGTTTCAATAATTTATTATGAAAATAAGCATAGGTATAGATTGGATTATTTTGTTTTTCAGGTAAAGTCTTCTTGAGCTGAGGTATAAATGGTATACTTGTCTCAACCTTCAGCAAATCACCTGGACCTGAAGAATTAGTTAGAGGAATAGGTGATGTAGCTGAAACACTTGTCTCTACATTAATCCGATCATGACATTTTGTCACCTCATTTATGATATGCTAAATTTGAGTATTTTTCAATTCCGAAATTGTACTTGCACTATATGTAATGTATTTGATTTTATCTATGCCTACTCCTCTATCACCAAATAGCTTAAGAATTTTTCTCGCTCTTTCGGTTTTCTTATGCAAATTTGCATCTGTAATATTAGGTAGAAAAGGTTTCATTTCCTTATATATTTTTGATCTTGCCATTTTATCCTTAATCTTGCCATCCACTATAAGGCTTTTAACCCTATTTTCGAATTCCAAAGAATAATAATACCAATTTAAAATTTGTTTTTGATCCAATTTAATTGCTTTATCAAATAAGTCTGATAAACTTTGCGCAGAATCCGGAGCCATATCCTGTATACAAGGTTTAGTGATTTCAGTAACATTTACCTCATCATTATTTGAATATAAAGGATTGATTTCGGAAGAAACAATATTTTCTACTTGATCATAGGTCATCTCTTGTGTTAAACCTTTTATGATTTGATTGTCTGATTCAAGTATTTCGGAGGTAGTATCAGAATTGTTAAGATCATGATATTTTGTCACGGTTTTTGCATCACATAATGCTAAGTTTATTGTCTTTTCAGATCCCGTTGAAGCATCCTGATTAACTAAAGATAGGTCTTGATCCTGAAAAGTGGAAGCTTTATTACTATGTAATAGCTTTTTTTCCATATTCCTCTGCCTTATCTCATTACTAACCCTTTTCTTATTTTCCGAATCTAAAAAGACATCAATTTCTTTATCTTCTAATGATTTGGATTTTCCGGAGCAAGTTTCACTAAGGTTAGATGTATTGGAAATTGTGTTAACTACCTGTTCTGAAGTTACTAAGTCAGTGCTAGTCATGGATTGATCCGCTTCGTGGTGAGTTGAAGAATCTTTAATCTGCGCATTTTCACCATTTGAGCAACTCTTGTTAGGTAATGGAGTGGAATATTCCGGAGATTTTTAAATCATTAGTAACTGTTCGATTTTGCTTTTCAATATTCTTAACAGCTCGTTTTAATTTTGCAATTTCATTCTTGAGCTTGGCATTTTCTGTTTGACTTAACTTTGTAGTCTGTTCTAATTCCACAATTCTAACTTCAAGCTCATTTTTTTTTTCGCGATCTGTTCCAATTCTGTGATTTTAGCCATAAGTCTGGCATTCTCTTGTTTCAATAAATCAATTTCGGATTGCATGTTTTATGATAACTTTTATACAAATGAAAATTATTCAAATATTTATTATCATAGATAATTATCAGAATCGCAATTATGCGACTAAAAATATGGGTCCATGTGCAGGATTAAATTTAATGATTCACAACAAAAAATAAATTTTTACATGTAAAGAAAGTATGTGTGTTTCCTATTCAATTATATTTCATTCTGATCAATTCTAAATTTTATTAATTACAATTTAAAGAGAGCTCATCTATTTCCCCTTCCGTTACGGGTATTAGATCATCGTCTGGTAAATGTATTCACTCTTGTAGGTTATTGGCATCATCATTAGCTGAGGGCATAAAATAACTAATTTTTTCTAGAAGTTCTTCTTGTTCGATAAACTCATTCCTTATGATCTTGAAAAAATTAAAGACTTGTTTGTAGTATCCAATGGTTCTAATCAAAAAGGGAATCATGCACGAGGCCAATTCGATAGTCAAATATTTTTTCTTGTCAACAAGTGATACAGAAAATAATGTTAATCGATCCCCAATTGCCTGAATACTATATGATTTAACTTTTTTGGCATTATCAATCGAGCAATAGAAATTATTTGCTAGTATTCTGCATAAATTACAAACGGCCATCACGAGTAATTTTTTTGCGTCTCCAACTGTATGTTTATTTTCTGGTTTGTAAGGTGGCCCAGACACTTCGATATGTAAAATTTCCTTGCCATCAGACAGCCTCATAACCAACAGATCAGTTTTCCGAGCCCTTACGTTGACTGCAAACATATTGCCAGCTTCCTTTAAAGATTTGACATCTTTCTCGATCCACTCGTATCTAACTTCGGGAAATGCATTTCTAAAAGAACGAAATATTGGCGAAAGGCATTCAATAATATAAGACCTTTCGGACATATCTCGAGCTAACACTTTGGGCGACATATATTCAAATATCGCAACAAAATCTATGAGGGTGTGCCGGATAAAAAAGAGGAATCATGATTCCTCACTTGTTTTCACGTTTTTTTCAACCTCAGTTTCGGTTATTATTTTCGAAATAATTTCTGAATGGCTTGTCTGGAAAATCGTCTCCAATTTTAAGATTATTGATCTGTCTAAAATCAAATTGTTTCTCATTTTAGGAAGCTTTTCGATCTTTTCAAATAAAATTTTCTCAACAGTTTCCTTGACTAAATGTAACGTGGAGTTGAATGCACAGATTATATGCGCAGAAATCAAGTTATATGTTGTTTCCAATATGATTGGCCTATTTAATGATGCAACCGAATGATCCAGGTTGTTGGGCAAGAATTCACGTTCAAATGCTTGATGCT